TCTTTAGATGTTCGAATTTTACAAATATCAAGCAAATACATAAAATACATAATAAAATTATGTAAAAAGCCATAATAAATGTTTTAAATACCAAGAAATATTGAATGGAAACCTCAATAGAGGTACAGCTTTTCAACAACAAAAACCTAATGCATCATGAGATATCGTTATCACTGTTAAAATGATCATTCTACCTGATTGTCGTTCTGTCGTCATCAGCAATTTCGAGATGGCTTCGATTACATCTATCCTTCTGCCAAGTGGATTAATACCAATGTYTTTCAAATCTGACTTGGAGATACTTTTCAGATTTTTCCCGCTTATTCCTTCGGCTAAAGTTAATTAAAGGAATGACTATAGAGTCACTAACTTAAAAGTTTCGATGAAAAGAGGAGAAGGAGAAGAGCGAAGTCTTCGAATGTGAAGAATATTAAGTTAAAGCTTTTACCGGCTATCAAACAGCTTTCTTCTTCAAAACCGTTTTCCTCAAACCATTTTGCAAGCTCTTCGCTTGTCCATTCTACTCATAAAAACAACAAAAAAGGAGAATTAAAACACGCAATTAGTAAAACCAGAAAAAGTTATATTCCAATCTCCAATCAAAATTAAAACTTCATTCAGTTCGAGGTGTTCRACAACTTTTCCGACAAGACAGAGTTGGACTCGAGAAAGGATTTAAAAAAAAATCCATTTCTCGAGTCTATTGTCATCAAAATTCCTTAAAATTACCTTCAACTTTCTTTGTTCCCGACATTGCTACGTTCCTAAAGGGTAGTTTGTGTAAAATTCCTGAAAGATTTTCCACTTGAAAGAAGACGAAAAAAACCCGACGAAAGTACTACTTGCAGTTCAACGAACTTCCCGCCAAAAGAAGTACGCATGCGCAAGACCACAGGCAGCCCAACTTAGACTATTGAAGGCTTTGACGACACAGGAAACCCAACGATTCTTCGCTTTGTAATCAAAATGGCGTCTAACAACGATCCAATTTCGATTTKCTGGTGTGGATGTTCAGAAATCAGTAAAACAGAATGTGAACAAGGCCACGTTCATTGTCCGTGCGAAGTATGCAACGGAGAACCGGTGAATAGAATGAAGGCATGGAGGCATGCACAGCGRTCTAAAATAGCAGAGATATCAGATAATCTTCATTCTTCCATTGTGACCAGTGAAGAAAACTCAAGTGCAAGTGGTTTCTGTTCAGAATCTATGTGTAACRTATCAAATAACGCGTGTGCTTTTGATAGAGATAGCATATCGTGTGCTTCCGATGCAGAAACAACTGAAAGCTACGCTTTTGACGATAACCCAAACATGGAAGAAGTCGAAGAAATGATTKATGTACCTGGGGAAGAATCTAACGAGGTTCGCGAATTTATACGAGAAACAATTTTGAAACTTGTTGACATCAAGACAAAGAGTGGGTTTTCTATCAAAACAATGGAGGACTTGTTGGAATGGGGCAAAGAAATATTTTCCAAAAACAACAATGAAACMCATGACACATGGCCATCATCTTGGGAACACGTTCTTCATATTTTGRAAGAAATCGGTTTTAATAATCCAAAACTATACTTTATATGTCTTAACTCTGATCATCCATGTGTTTTTGGTCTCATGGAATCGAAAAGGGATCCATGTCCGCATTGTGGGAATCCTGGAAATATCCCATATTATTATCTAAGTGTGTTAGACAAAGTGAAGCGATGGTTTACATCACAAAAAATGTGTGAGAAGATGAGTGCACATTGGAAAGAAAAGGAACACTGGTTGTCAGATGAAAACAGAGAAAACTGGGGCTATCCATTGAAGAAAGAGATATGGGATGGGAAGCAGTTTGCTCGACTCCAGTACTTTTGGAATCCCAATTGTGAGTGGATACTTCCAGTTATGTGTCCTGTTGATGGTTGTGGGAGAATCATTTCTTCTGAAATGATTTTGAATTCCCCTCTGGTAGGCGGTAATCAAGATAAAAGGCAAATAACATGTCCACGTTGCTACAATGAATTTGAACACGAAGTGAAGAAAACTAGGGGTGATCCTAGAAATCTGGCATATGATGTCCATTGGGATGGCTGGCAGCCATTCTCATCAGGCAAACGTGGTTCAGGTGCAATTGAATTACAAGTTGTAAATATGTCAAAGGAAGATAGATSTTCAGTTGAAGAAGTATATGTGATAGGATTTGTGCCCACGTATCTACTACCTAATAAATGTCCAATTTTCTTGGATYCATTMTTGGAACCCTTGATTATAGACATTGAAACAGGCTTCATCAAAGGAATAGATGTTAATTGTTCTGTGCCAATGTGTKGTAAACCYKAAGGCCCTGCAATAATCAGGCATTTGWTCCTTTGCTTTTCTRGGGATCACAATGGAATTTGTGAAGCAGGAAAATTTGTTAAGATGGGAAAATGTGCTTGTAGAAGATGTTGTTTGTTGGAGAGCATTTATATACCAGAGCGATGTCATTATTATTACACGAATTTCAGGAAACAAGGTAGATTTCCTGCAGAAAAGAAAAGTATTCTGGACAGCCTTGATATAATTGATGAAATAGATGCAGAAGAAAGAGTCTCAGTTAGAAAAGAAATGGCTAGGGACAGTGGCTACACTGGATTGTCAATCCTTCACAGACTGCATCCATTATATGGATTTCTCTATGATGAACACATGTTATTTGATGAAATGCATACATTTTCTCTTAATATTGTCAAGTCTGYACTTCTAGATCTCCTTGATGATGAGGATAGCAGTATTGACTGGAATGTTGTCGAGGAAAGACTTAATAATATGCCATGGACTACTGAATTTAAGTCTTCAAGATACCCCAAAAACTTCATCAAATCTGTTAGATCCTGGAAGGCAGAGGAGTTTTTGATTTTTGCTTATCCTACTTCAGAAGTGGTCTTTGATGGGCTGCTTTCAGATCAACAAAGGGAAGAGTGGATGTGTATTGCACGCATGATTGAATTTATCAAAAATCATGCTAGAAATGGATGGACAAAGGAAAATTGTGACACATTTCATGCAATGTGCTTGAGATATGCTGTCCTGTTAGAAGAACGACGGGGAGCACATAAGTGTGTTATCATTCTGCATAATTTGCTTCATCTTAAAGAAGACATTCTTAATTTTGGTGGCCTTGATAATTACTCTTGCTGGACAAAAGAGCGTGCTGTTCGCAGATACATCTCTCAAAGTAGCAATTGCAAAAATATCGAAGCAACTTTTGCAAATACAGAGGTTCGACGTGAATGTCTGAAGATTAAAGAGGAAAACAAAACTACTGCTGTATTAAACTATGAAAGAGTAGATTCAGCTAAGGTAAGATAAACTAAAATTTTTTAAAAAAATAATAAGATCTACAATCACTGTCAAAATACCTTGGACCTTTAAAAAAATTAAAAACAATTAAAAACAAAACAAAAAACAATTACATTTGTTTTTATACTATTTCTACTGGACAAAAATGCAATGCTGCTTTGAAATATGGAGATGATATGTGCCATGGGAAGTACTCTTATGAAGGCTTTTGGCATTTTGGCAAGGATTGTAGTGCATTTCAGTAGTCTTTGAAGTTAKCYACTTACATGTAAGAAATCAGGAGAGTCCCATCTGCATACATTTCTTTGTACATATTAWTTTTTTTAATGCTCACACCTCAGCTATACTTTGTCCAATATACACTACACTTTTTAAAGTTACATGTAGCTCTTATGGTGTGGCTTATTTGTTTTCATGATTTTTAGAAAATCTTTACTTGCTTTTTTAATTGTCAAATACACTGTTTTGAGAAAGGTTTGCAATTAAGTGAATGGAAAAATTCATCTGTCTGCAATAAAAAACAAAAGTGACTACTTTTTTCAATTTTGCATGAGAATACATCTTCCAAATAAATTACATTCTCATATTTTCAGTACATAATTCCTCATAAAAACCTATTATTTAAATGTTTGAMAAAATCAAGGAAAACGTCAKTACSAGMCAACCCTTTACAGTACATTTTAACTCACATTAACACTCTCAATTTTGTTTTGAATATTTTTTTTCTAAGGTTTGGGGGAAAACCATAAATGATGCTAAGGAACTCCACAAGGCAAACCCCACAATTGACCATAGAGGCAATGGGATTTTAGTTGGAGCCTCAAAGAACTATCTGCTCTCAGATACAAATAGAAAGCTTGTTGCTGCTAGTTGCAGGGTTCAGGAGGATCTTGTAGATGAACTTATAACAGTATACCGAAGCATTTGGAAGCCAAAGCATCAATACAATGGCCTTCTGTATAGGACAAATGAGAACATTGTAACAACATCKTATGGAGAATCTGTAGTTGTTCTAAAAGAAATCTTCGTAGCTGAAGTTGATGGTGMATTAAAACATTTGTGCAAGTGTGAGTCCTATGAGCATGTAGGTTTCAGTGATCTTGGTGCAAAACTAGTTCAGAAGAGAAATAACGAAATAATGGTTAGCCCACTGTCTACAATAAGTAGAAAAATAATGTTAGCAAAGTATGKTGATGTCAATGGAATTCCCACCTTCATTGTTGTGGACTTTATGAGAAGAATTTTCCCAATCGGAGCCGATTCTGTTGTTGTTCCTTATTACCCAGTAGCAAATGATATGGTATTGGTCATGGGCAACCAGCCTGATACCCTATGGAGAGCTCGCGTCGTGTCATATAAYATCCCTCRAAAAGTGGTCAAAGSGCAGTTTTTCATTGAGCAGGCAGATAGACTATGGATCCCAGAGGYAACAASGCATCAAGAAATMAATTTTGATAGCATCATGGGACTTTCTAATGGAACATGGCAACGACAGTTTTCGCAATGGGTAGAACTCCAATAGACATCAATACCAAGTCAGCTTGGCAATTTTACTGGTATATTAATCATAAAATAGTATCTTTTAAGTAGGTTTGGTATTTTATTGGTATTTCATTGGGATACTATTCATAAGATACCAATCATGTTCCATTGATCTCCCAATGTTGGAGTATCTCTAAAGTAGGCTTGGTATATTATTGGTATATTATTGATAAGATACCAATCATATTCCATTAATCTCCCAATGTAGGTGTATCTATAAAGTAGGCTTGGTATTTTATTGGGATATTATTGGGATATTATTGTAAGATACCAATCATGTTCCATTGATCTTCCAGTATTTGAGACCCAAAAAGGTCAGCTTGGTATTTTATTGGGGAATTATTGGTACATCATTGGAATATGATTGATTTCCCAACATTGGTAATCTAAAATTCCGAAGATTACCAATGATTATCCAACTTGGAATCTCATATTTTTCCCTGTGTCTTTTGTCACACTGGTTGGTTTCAACAATTCGTACTGTTTCAATAGGAAGCAAGTATAATACACACTTCTGAACGTACCGTTCGCCCTCACGGGAATAAGAACTCAAAAAGAATCAAAACACTTCCAACAGGAACTGAAAAACCATTTTTTAGGGATCCTTGGGGAAGACCGGTTTGGACTGACAGCAAGAACTCGTTGAATTGCACAGTAAAAATGGGGTCGTCAATAAAACATGTCAAGGTGGAACTTGCCAGAGTCGACATCATAACCTTTCTATGTATAAAAAGTGAAAAATAATAATTGCACTCGCGTCAGATTTGTTTTAGGTTCCAGGGTTTCATTATCTTTTTGAGTAAGTGCCTGAGCGTCTGTTTCCCAAACAATTTAAAGTAACAAAATACCCGTCATCAACAGATAAAATAAGGGGTTCTATACCAACAGTATCTGGCTATTATTTAAACCCCTGAGGTTCCCTCCATGCCTTTTTACAAGAGGCGACGAAGACGGTAAGGTAAGGTTAGTTGAGACAGGGTCCTGTGCAATGACTTGAAACATTTTAATGCAACATATTTGATACCTAAGGCTACTTACACAGATACTCCACACATGTTTTGGTCTCCACCGCTGCAAAGAAGAGGATGGGGACTAACAATACCCTGTCCTAGTGACAATAGTTGCAGGGTCAGCGTCTTCCCAACGTTCCGTGCCTCAGAATATATGATTCCTACAGAACTCTCGTCTGAAATCGAGAAACATATTATGTATATTAGATATATTGAATGCATTTTAATTCAGACAATTATAATGAAAGAATGGATCAGAAGGGTTACAATTTATTATTGCAACAAACCAGAAAAGGTCTTCACTTGCGTCTTTAGACTTGGTTTTATGTTACTATAGAGTACAAATGCTGTACTAAGTAGAAAAGGAACTTTGTTTGTGGCAAAACTTTCTGATAGCTCGATGAACCTTGAAGAAACAAAAAGTGATAATCAGGTTAACATATTCTTCTTTCTGCTGAAAAGAAAACACATATATAACTTTCGGTTAAGTGGATTATCCAGTATTTCATTCCCATGTTAGGGACTAAACACAATGAAGCTTAGGAGTTTACAGGAGTTTACAGGAAATGATCAAGCGAGCGAGCGAGTGACAGCTTGTCCCCACACGCCAACCACATTTATTTGTGATTCACCATGTGGTTTGGCACGACATCTAGAAGTCAGGGAGAATAAGTTAACCAAAAAGCTTTGGAAAGACAACTGTGCCTGCTTTGAGAGGCCAACACTTGACAAACCCCCAAGTCAGGTATGTCTACTACCAGCAGATTCCTCTTGAAATCGAAATTTTGATTATATGTTTTTTGCTCTACCAACAGAATGTCAACATACCTGAAATAGTAATAACAGATTACAGCACTAATAAAGAAAGAACAAAAATGCCAGAAATGCTCTCAGAAGTGGAACATCCTATTACAAAGTCTAAGCGTCACTTCATACTAGGTGACAGGTTCCATTCTCAAGTTAACCCACACAAGTCAGATTTATGTGCCTACCATGACATAAACCTTTGCCAACAAGGTTTGGCAATCTGCACAAGCATGCAGGAATCGGAAAACCACAGGAAGAACCTACAAAGACTGAGAAGCACATGCCAACAAAGCTTTGAAGTGCATTATATCTTTAACTACTTAAGGTATCAGCGTACCCAAAACCGTCACATTTTAATGATTTTTTGATTTTTATATCATTGGAAAGATCGTTTGTAGATCTAGGTATATAGTAAAGTTTGAAAAGATACGAAGTTTACAACAAAAGTTATTGCGCTCAAAAGATTTTTTAGTCTTAATTGGATTAATGGCGTTGATGACAGCTCACATCAAACGAGTTTTATATATGACCGTTTAAAGCGAGAGTCGCCTTGAAGCATGCCGTAAGATACAAAAGAATATGTCTATTTGAAGGACTCCAATAAGCAATATATTCGATAAATATGCTCACCGGCAGTTTTCATATGGATTAAGTATTTTAATACTTTAAAAAGTCCGTCCAAGGATCGAGAGTTGATCACCCTCATGTTGTTGATTCTCGATATCATATTCTGCTTCTTTTTCTCTCTCATTTCTCTGAATAACTCAATCATTTCTTTCTCTTGTATTAGTTTATTATGATTTTCCACGTTTTGATTTGAAACGGTCAAAATTTGCGAGAATAGGAATAAACTATACATTATATTTACAATTAGCATATCCTTGCTTCGCTTGGCTATCGCTAATCTTCTTGGCCTTTGGCATTCCTGAACATTATCGAATATTAGCTTCGGCCTAACCGAAAAACAAAAAACTGTATATTTAGTAAAATCTTACGAGTTAAAAGTTGATGTTTTTGAAAGAACTGCCCGTTCTACTTAAATCGGTTTTATAGCTGTCATCGCATCTTTTATGCTGACATGACGTAGATTCCGGTATGGTCTTATAATCTGTTATTACTCGGTATAATCCCATTATGGGCTAAAAACTGTTTTTGACTCATTTCTCGAAACAAAATTTACGGCAAGTAGGGCATACGTTTTAAACTCCAAGTCAGATACCCGTAAACCAATTTTATTCAAATTTCGTAGCATTGTTTACAAATAGTTAAGCAACAAAATTGTGTCTGGGATTTTGAAAAGTCGTCTTTTTTCAAAAGTTATTCAAGGTTCTTTAAAGAACTTGACATAATTTTGCGTTCCTAAAATTTATTACAACATTAAATCAAAACGAGAGCGCGTATAAAAAATCGCAGACACAATTTTTGAGACAAATACGTGAACAAAAGAACAGCGCTTAAATTGAATTTTTTCCGATAATTCTTTCAGACTTGGAGTTCGTTTTATACAGGCATGTAGTTTCAGATAAAGGAGCTAATAACTCTAAAGCATAATTTTAAATGCATTTCAAACACTTATAGGCATAAACTACAGTTACTAAGCTTTCAGAAAATATATACTTTGTGAGAATTTGCAAAACAACAAGAAAGTTATAGTCGATGACGCGAGTAGGGGTCGCGTGGGTACGCTGATACCTTAATGGATTTTTATTTAAATGAGGCAGTCGTTAAAAAGCAACTTGAGTCTTTATCCAAGAATATAAAGCCAAGTGAAACAATCCAAAGAAACATCTATGGACAATTCATCATAGTAAATAAATAGAGGTTATGAAAGTCATGTGCAGAAAAACAAATAGTGAGGGTCGTACAACATAGCAAGGCTCCAAATTAAATACACAAAAACAACCAAAAAACAACTAATAATAACGACAGACTACCGACAGACTACCAAGCTATTATTAATATACAATGACTGGCAAGAAATATGTTAACGATATTGAACGATATTCTTGAACTACGGTAGCCATCATATATAGTAAAATACAATTACTCATAAACATCTTTTGGAATGTGTTTTTTTTTTTTTTCTTTTCAAATTATCATAAGTTTTCCAATGCATGTTTTAATTTCATGACAATATGAATACAAATGTCAATCCAATGATAGTTCACATGTTGCAAAAGATCAATTGTATTGACAATTGTGTGTATTTCCTTAGATCATTAAACTATTTAAATTAAATAGATCTTTAAGAAAAAAAAGACAATTGAAAAAACACTATTAAGAACATCACTATGCAGCGGGCATAACGAAACAAGCTTCAGAAAGCTTCAAGCAATAGTTAGTTAATTTGTAAAGGACTTTTAGCTTTAGGACTGCGTGGGACTGATCACCCCAGCAAGTCACAGAGTATCACAAAGTCAAAACAGAATTCTGCTTATTTTTCTAATCTTGTCTTATATCACACTATGTGCCTTCAATAGAAAGTGGGGGAGAGTGTGACGGTGTGTAACTGGACACTATTTGACATGATGTCATAATGATGTAATAATAGATAGATAAGAGTTGTGACACAAGGTCAAGAGAGAGGACTTTGTATGAGAGACTTGAAGTGTATTTACGAGATAGGAACAAAGTATTATTAAAACAGTTCAGTAGTGAAACTCAGCGTTTTGAGTCATTGTCCCGGTGTAACATAAACAATAAACAATTACTACTTACATCATCTTCCTCATCACAGCTACTTGTCAATTCATTATTACTGCTTGAGTCATCGGAATCCTTTAAAAGATAGACAAATGTAATTGTCAATTTGAACATTCCATTTTTCTTTTTATGGTGAGCTATTTACATTATTTACATAAGCCCGTAAGGGTTTCATAAGCTCTCCACACATATAGATATTTAATGATATTTAATCTAAATAATTAGTCTATATATACACCATTCAAATGTCTAGTCATTAGATGGATAAATTTTTAATTTCATTAATTCATTGAACCATTGATATGTTTTGTACTGATTTTGGAGCAGGATAAATATTTATGTTAACACGAATAACTTGTAAAGAAGCGAACTGACAGCTGTGAAGTATCAATGTAAAGACAAATCACAACAATTAAAACAAAACGTATTTCTTTTTATTA